TTGTCTTTTCTGGCTTTTGTGTTTATTGTGGGCTTCCCAAATGTTTTCAATTTTCCACTGTCTTGTCCTCTCCAGAACTCCTGAATTGTCTTCTTCCGCCAGCTCCCCCAGCTTTTCTGTTTGATGGTTTTCTCATTAGTTGCCCTCACTTACTCCCAAAGGTGGGACATCACCTAATTGGGAATTCCCACACTTTGACCTGATGCATGCAAACTGAAGTCAGTATGGATGATGATGTTGATTGCCAAGTACATATGCAGATGATATGAAACTTTAAAATGTAAAACTACTGGGAGTTGTGTAAAAGTGTTAATTGAAGTAACAGTGGTAGTTATGCTCAATGTCCTTTTTGTTTCTTGATTTCTTGAGCTTCTGTTTAAAACTTCCAAGGCTTCTTATATCTTATGCTTGAATACAGATCTAAAAGAGAAGACAGTAACCAATGAAACATCAGCTTCTCAACTTATCTTCATTTCTATACTATGTTTGCAGAGCAAGAACGGATACTTTTATTCTGTTTGATCCAAACTGGATAAAGCTGAATATGCAGCCTTGATACATGCACGTATGTGTGCATATAACTCTATTTTTGGTTATAAAAGTATAGCAAGGTTTTTTTTCTTTTTGATCTAAGTCTTGTATGTTATAGTCCTTTGTTTGCATTTACCCTTAATGTCTAGTGTCATCTGGTTAGATTTCTGTAGCAATGTAATACTTTCTTTTATGTTGGCATTCTTTCTTGTTTAAAGTAGTAGGTTCCAGCCTGTTTACCATTTGCTTTGTTATTAAGTGACTATACCATGGGGAATGTCTGGGTTCAAAGTCAATCTCTGAAAGCCTGAATTACCGGAAGGGAATTACTGACTGTGTAAGCATGTCCTTATTAGTTTAAAAGTTAAATTAATGTTAAGTCTGTTTGCTTAGCTATACAGATTAACAGAAGCTACTGTTTCTTTTATTTTATAGTGGCGTTTATTTTCAACTGGATTGGATTTTGTTTATCCTTCTGTATAACAAATACCATAGCTGGAAGGTATGGTGCAATCTGTGGATTTGGTCTGTCCCTGATCAAATGGATTCTCATTGTACGGGTATGTTTCCTGATTCACGCTGTACAGACCCTGTTTGTAGAACCAAACCATAACAATTTATTCAAGGATATATAATAATGGAATTAAAAATCAGTATATTAAATTCCAGTGCTTAACAGAGTGCCTAGAATTTTCTCTAACTTCTACTTTAGTAGAGAATTCACTTGCTATATATTCGTATGTGCTTACTAATGATGAAGCTTAATCTGTTTTTATCTGACATAGCATTTTACGTTCATCTTTCCATGAAAATAAATGCAGAATGACTCATTCTTTGCACAAATATTTAAAAGCATCCAGAAAAAGTGGAACAAGTACCTAAAATGTCACTGGTGGTATAGTGTCCTATATGAAAGATTTATAAATGGCTCAGCCTATTGGGGGTGGGGGATGGGGATCAGAAAACATTTCTTCCTTGTATCTGATCCTTTTATTCCTTGTAAGATACATACTGAATCAAGTCAAAATTGAATATGAAGTTAGTCACATTTTTACTATCTTAGATGCTCAATTTCTTTGTTTTCACTGCAAGACTAGATACTCTTCAGAAAGGTATGTTAGCCAAATGGGAGTTAGTTAGCTGACTAAGTGGATGCTAGATGAAACGTAATGATTCTTTCTAAACTTGAATTCTACATGTCAGTGAGACACAACATTTAAAGTCTCATCCTGTCTAACAAAGAGAGAGATCTTGGATAACTTAGTCATCTTTTATGTCCTGCCAACTCTGATTTTTTTTTTTTTCTTTTTTTTCTGTGTGTGTGTGCTAGTAACTTAACTTGATTTGGTCTTAGCACGGTAATACAAGGATTGTAGAGAGAAGAGATTGCATGGTCCTTCCTGGACATGTCCTGCATCCTTCTTAGAACTGAGAGTGATTTTGGTTTGGGTTGGTTTTTTTTTTTTTTTTTCTTCCCCAGGTCAGGGGAATGCTGCTGGACCAGATGTGATTCTGGTGTATTTAGCTGGAATTCAGGGTTTAGGATGAAATTTATTGTAAGGGAATGAGAAGATATGAATTTTTCAACTATGCATTCATTGCGGATATTTTCAGCTTCCCTTGAGGCGTGCTAAACAGAGGGCAGAACTTGCTCATTGTGTCAGTTTTATTATTCCTGTGTGCTTGAAAACGTGCTCATAACAAACACAAAATTAATATATTCCTTGAAGAGTTACCGTGTTCTAGACTATATTTTAATTCTTGTATATAATCTGTTACTAATTCTAAAGTATTAGAGCTGACCACTTCCAAGACCTCAGGGGTGTTTTTTTTTCATAGTGAAGATTATCATCTTCCTGTGTTGTCTCCCTTTCTAGAGACAATAGCAGAAAGCTCGTAAGGTATATGTCGACAATTTTGTTTTAATGGTGACACACAAGCATGCGTGTGTGCACAAAATTGTTCCTTCCTTTGTTGCAAGCTCCTCCGAAGGCTTGTGCTGCCCTTTCTTACTCAGTCAGTAGCACAAAACTTTATAGCGTCTAAACAATCCGAGTTCACGTATGCTCTCTGTGTCAGTTTTTACTGGGGGGGGTGGAGGGAGGACAAAAGCATAGTTTTGCTGTTGAGGAAATTCTGCAACCATGGCTGCTTCTGCCTAAAGAAAGTGTGAGAGTAATGCACATAGGCTAGTATTTGATTGCTGGTTTTAGTAAATCTTCTTTCCAATTAAACTAAATTGTAGCTTTAAAAAAAGTGTATGGGTATATATGTTTAGAGAATTGAAAATACTGACTGTCAAGTGAGATGGGATTAATAATGTTGTCAACTTCCTGGGGATTGAGTATTCATTGATATTTTAATGAAGTGTCAAAATATGAAATGCTTACTCTGCCCAATCATGGAAATGCTAGTATTTATATAGGGATAATGTAAGTACCAATTCTTTAGTTCAACTTAGCAATTCTGTTTCTTGATATTTTTTTTTTCTTGGATTGCCCATAGAAATTATTATAGTACAGGATTAAACCTTTAAAGAATTCGCATGATCTGGCTTTATTCTGGAGAAAACATGCAGATCTCAGTGCACAGTTACTTGAAGAAAAAAACAACTATATCTAGAGTTCTTTAAATGTCTTGGATTTTTATCTGGTTGCATATGTGGCCCAGTATCTTCTCTTTTTTTTTTTTTTTTTAAAGGAGTAAACTGAATTATGTGACTGAATTACGTGTTTTCTTGGTTGATACTACTGAAATGTCCTAGAAATGACAAATGGGAAGCACTGTGGCAGGATGCAGTAAACATACTGAATGATAGCAGGATGGGCAGTGTATGAAAAGTGTGCAGAGCTATTAAATAGGTTATTTTAGTCCTTCTCGCAGCTTTTCACACATCTCCCCATTGGTACTTTTTATGTAAGTTTTGGAGACATTTGATTAGCCTTTTTATCATTGAAGCATGCAGTCTGGAGTCTGGTAAAGGCACAGATACCTGTCTCCAATACCATCACACCCTGCCCTCCAGCTGCCTCCCACATCACAGGGAGGACAAAACTGTCTACCATGGTCACTAACAGGAACAGTCGAAATGCCACTTCAAGGTTCATTTAGTTGTGTTCAGCTCACTGCTGGGAACTGAATGCTGGTTTGAAAATGAAAAGACTTTAATGAGTTGGGGGTCTTTATGGGGCTCGTATTCTTGGCAGCGATTAACAGTAGGGGGTATACAGAAGGTCAAAAGCTCTTCTTTTGAGGGGTCAGCAGAACATCCCTGTCTGATAAGATTAAACTAATGTGGCTTTTGGTGTTAATATCTAAAGCAGCAGGCTGCTGTAATGTGTTTGGGATGGCAGGCATTGGGGGGGGGGAAAAAGGAAAAATCGACAAGTGGTGATTCTTTATAATAGAAAATGTCAGATGATTCTGGCAAGTAATACAAGTTTTTTTGGTTTTTTTTTACACACTCTTGCACACACACACACACACATATTTTTTTAGAGGTTTTAAAATAACTTTGCCACAGACCAACTGACACTGGAAGCATTATTTGTACATTAAACCTGCACAAATATCAGTTTTGCATTTTAGTTGAATGTATTACTTTTATTTAAATTTGCCTTTTCCTCTGTGCTTTCTGTATTTGCATAGTGCATTAAATGTCTCTTAGTCATCTGTCTTACTGCAGCTAAGCCTCATGTATGAATTTCAGTTTTCAGATTACTTTACTGGATATTTCAATGGACAGTACTGGCTTTGGTGGATATTTCTTGTACTTGGTAAGTGGCAATTGAAAACATTTCTGTTCTGATGTGGAAGTACTTAAAGATGAATCATGTCATTGTAAGTAAGAGTTCTGTAACATGTTTAGCTATGTGTTTTTCTTCAGCTGATGATAGTTTTGTGTGTTGTTTTTATTTCTGTCATATTCACGAGGTTATTGGTTTCCATAGTGGTGGTATTGTGTGAACTGTGGACTATTCAAATAACCTTCAGCTCAAAAAATTTTGTTCTACATATGTATTATGTACATACCTGAGACTTGTAATTTGTGCTTTTTAAGCTGCTTCTACTGATCTAGGGGTGCAGAACTGTATAATGAAACTTTGGCTTTATGTAGAGAACGTACTGAAAAGTGAGTGATATCGAGTACTTACGTGTATAAACCTGTGTGTCAGGTATTAAATTTTAAGAAATGTGACTGATCCTAGGAAGGTGGAGTCTGCTGTCTTGTACATAGATCACGAAATGTCCTTTTCTAGTCCTTTGAAATGCATACTGCATCAGTGGTTTCTCAGTCGGACAGGAGAATGGCTTCATGCTTTCTGATCACAGCGCTCTCATGATGTCAGCTTTCTCTTAAGAGGTCTGTCTGCCCATGTTCAAAGTCTTATATGCATCGAATTCTTCTCTTCTGTCTGTTTTTAATTAGGATATACGAAACAACAACCACTATACCTTTTTTCCTACTGCAGATTTTGTAATTTGAGTATGGAATCTGGAATGATTTTTTTACAGAAATGAATGCTACTATCCATTTTATTTTCTAGGTCTGGAAGCATAGTAAACTTGCTGTTTCAGTAGGTGGCACTCTTCCCTTGGAGTCAATTGACTGAAATGGCTATCAGCCCATGTTAGAATGAAATGTTGAGTAAATTAAAAAAAAACTCAAAAACCACCACCAAGATCCTGACTGTTTGTGACTCACTATTTATCTCACAAGAAATGCCAGAAATCTTAAATGATGTTACCTAAAACTTTCTCTATCTGCCTTTTAGTAAAGTTTGAGGGCGTTCGTCAGACTTCTTAATACTCAGTTTGCTCTACTGTTGTGCACTTGGTTGCTTGAGATATATAGAAACTGCAAATGTTTAACGCGTCACAGCACCAGTACCTTGAATGCTTTCATATTCTGTTTGAGGTGACTGCATTTAAGTAGCAAGTGAAATGACTCTTCACAGGTACAAACATCTCCAGATAAACCCATAATTAAAACAAACCCTTGTGGTGCCTGAAATTGGGGTTTGACACTGTTTTCACCGGGATGAAAATAGTGTGTT